AAGACGCTTGCTCTGTGGCAGGGAAGGATGAACCCTCCCCAAGCCAGCGCGTTTATGTTTCCCATATGGAAACAATCTGCATCCAAGAACAGCTTTGTTTATAGCAAGCCGTTTATAAACTTCCCCAAACGCTCCGCACATCAAAGGCCCTGCTCATGTCACTCCCTGGTAAGGCAGCTCAGAGAGCATCCACGCTGGAGCACCCTTCAGGAAAGGCAGCTGAAATCAATTTATCTCCTCTTCTAGGCACAAAAAGTTTACAGACCAAGGGGCTGAATATGCCCTCCTGCTCAGCCCCTCCGCATCCCACTGCTCCTGTCCTCAGCCCCCCCAAATGTTACTTTGCCCCCCTAAATTTTCTCTATTGGTTATTAATTAAGACACATTACCCATATAACTATTTCAGCTCCCAAAATGCCTAAGTGGTCTCGCTTTGTTCAAGAACCCTTGCAAGATAAACACCTCCACCAAATCAAAAGATGCTGAACGAGCACATCCCACCACCACCACCCCGCGGAGCTTCCCCGGGACTCCCCCGGGCCCGGGCCCGCTCGCAGGGGCAGCGGGGGAGAGGAAGACTTACCCGAGTGTCCTGCAGCTGCGAGTGCCGAGCGAGCACAGCTCCGTGCTGGCAAGAGAGCCGAGTGTGGTTCATGCTTCCCCTCCCAGTATATAACCCGTCCAAATCAATGAATCAGCACAGGGGCAGCACTGGGGCTGGGGAAACGCTGGAGCGGAGCTGCTTCCAACTCCTATTTCCTCGGCAAACACAGCATTCACCTCAAGGATGGAGTTTTGCGTTTCCCTCTCCTGAACCCCAGTGCCCCCGCTTGAAGAGAAGCAGCCGGCCCCGGGAACAGGCTGCTCACGTCCGCCAGCGCTCGGGCAGCAGCTCAGCCCCCGGAGCTCCCCTGCTCCCCGGTGGGACACGGCTGGGTGCCCTGACCGCGGGGGCAGGTGAAGCAAAGCCAGGCCCCCAGGGGCAGGGTCCTGCCCTTCGCTGGCACGCACTCACACCGCAGCTACTCCCGGGCATTGCCTCGGCACACGCACAGCGCTTGCCTCCCCGGCCACGGCCCCTGCGAGTGTCGGGACCTCTGGCCGTGCCCCAGCCCAGGGCTGGCAGCCCCCCGGCACGCCACCCCAGCCCGGGGTCACAGCTCTCCTTCACTCCCCCCAGCCACAGTGCAAAGGGACCAGGACCCCCCCGAGCACCCACCCCAGGGCTCTGCCCCGCAAGCACCTCGCCCAGCCCAGCTGGGGAGCGGGCACCAAGCGGGGGGCGGCGGTGTTGCTGGTGCCAGCCAGAGGCCGGGCTGCTGCAGGGAGCCCTCAGCAAGCCAGTGCGTCTCCCACCAGCTCTGCCGTGTCTGCGGGCACTGAGAAGCCCCTTCCATGCTGGCCACAGGCAGCCTCGCAGCCCCAGAGCGGCACACGCTGCCTACCCCAGGGGCTGCTGCAGCCCCTACGCTGCTCTTCATCCTCAGCAGCCCTGATGCAGGGGTGAGGGAGCCCAGCACCCAGAGGGGTGCCTGCTGCCTCCTCTCTCCTGCCCCCTCCAGCCCGCATGGGTGCATGGGGGTGCCCTTGGCCCCCACCTCCCAAGCCCAGGTCCCCCCCTGCCCACCTCTCCTGGGCAGCCCAGGTCCAGCAGCTGCCAGGAACGGATATTTGGGAGGAAGCAGCTGAGGAGAGCCATCAGGCTTCCCGGAGCCGGAGCAGCCCCGTGCTAACCATGGAGCAGCTGGAATTTTCCTGACCACGTCTAATCCCGTCTCAGCCCACCCATGTTTCCGCCAGCCGCAGCAGCCCCTGCTCAGGTCCCAGCCAGTGCTAATGAGCTGCTGAAGATGGGAACAGCACGGAGACGGGGGAGGAAGGCTGCCTCCATTCCCATGCCACAGTGTGCAGGGGATGGGAACCCTGTTCAAAGCAGAGATCAGGATAAACAGCAAACTGAGGGGATGGAGAGGGGGGGCACCAGCCAGGCTCTGAGGAAGGTGACAGGGATCGTGGGAAGAGGAAAGGGAGTTGGGACCTCAGCTGGAGGCAACCACTGGAGATATGTCAGATTGCATGGGGGGTCTGGATGCCATGGGATACACCGGATGGCCATGGACCTGTCCCCAGACAGGCAGCAAGCACCAAGGCTGGGGCTGCCCCACAGCCACGCTCCCTGCCTGCCCCTGGGGCAAAGCCCAGGGATTTGGGCACAGAGAAGGGGCATTTTGAAAACACCACCCACAAGTGCTTTAGCTCACGCTCTATTGACATAGCAGATTTTCCCAGCACCGTGGTTCCCAAAATAACCTCCCCACTTCCTTGACAGCAGTGCAGCGGAAGGTCAGGCAGTGGGCTTGGGAGCTGCCCACTCCCTGCAGCCCTGGCGCAAGCGTGGGGCTCTCGTGGCTTTATCACACCCTTATCGCTGGCTCTGTCTGCCCGCTGCCAGCGGCGCTGGGCTCCTGCCTGCTCTGACTCATCCCAGAAGCACACAGCTTTTCAGCAAGGCAACACAGAAATTAAGCCCCAGCACTTCCAAAAAACCACCACCCCAAGCCCAGTCTGAAAGAGGAATGTCAGACTCTGCTCCTTCCAAGCTGTGCTGCCCTGGGGGTGACGCAGGGATGGGGATGCAGCGGTGGCTACCCTCCAACACCCTGCCCTCAGGAGGGGGGTGATCCAATTATGGTACCTACAGCCATGCAGAGCCCCCGAAGTTTCAGAGGAGCCCAGGTAACAGCCCTGCCAAAAACCCCACTGCCTCTAGCCAGGCCGCAGGAACCTGGCTCCAGCCCCTGGCTGGGAAGGACGAGTGTTTTCAAGACATCCCTAAAAAACAAAGCAAGGCTGAGTAACAGCACAAGCCCGTGCACCGCACCCGCAGCCGAGAGGGAGCCGTTCCGGGGGGTGAACACACGGGAGCTTGCCCCAGGCTACACGCAAGGGAGAGGAGCAGGGGGCAGGCAGGGAAGGGGAGCTGCTTGCCTGCGGTGCTCTGCACATCTGGAGGGGAGAGGCAGCTCCCGGAGACAGCGTGTGGATGTTATTGAGGGTGAGATAAGTGTTTTGCAAAAGGAGGCTGCTCCACATAGCTGGGAGCTCGCACAACGCTGGATGGAGCGCAGCAAGCCCCACACCATGGGAAAGCCCCAGGGTCCAGCAGTGCTCTGGGGACCTGCCCCAGCTCCAGCCACACCAGCAAAAGAAAAGCTGAACCCCCCCAGACCAAGCTCCGGAGAGCATGGAGCCACTGCCGTGTCCCTATGCCTCTAAGGGGATGAGGGAGCCCAAGGGTGGGCACCTGAGATGGGGCTGGCAGCAGTCATGGCTGGGCTGGGGGCTTGGCTCCTTCCCCCAGAGCCCCCAGCCCTCCTCTCTGTCTCTGCTGCCTGCACAAACATGGTTTTCTGATTCCTCACCAAAGGCAGTGGCCAAACACTGCTGTGTGGGGAAAAGCAAGAGCACATGGTGCCACTGCCGGCAGTTGCAGCCCGGGCTGGAGGGGCCCTTGCACCCGAGAGCCCCCAGCACTTCCCACGGGCATCTCTCCACATGCTGCTGAGCCCACAGGAGGGCTGGGGGTCCTGTGGCAAGCGGTCCCAGCTAGCGTTACCCCTTGTGCTTTGACATGACGCTGGCTGGGGCTCCTGGAGGCTGGCAGGGCCAGGAGCAGGCAACCCTTGGCCACGCTGAGCCACTCACATTTAATGCAGTCTGGGCCCCCAACCCCACCAGGGCTCCTGTCTGTCCTGTGACCTCCTGCACAAGCCCTGCTGCTCCCCCACACCGAGCTCAGCCCCCAGCCAGGGAGGTCCCAGGAGCCCCAAAAGAGTAGTGTCACCTATTTTTGGGGATGGCAGCCTCGCTCCTGGACAGCGGGACAGGCCCGGCTCCGTCTGTGCTGGCACTTCTCCAGTGCATCCCCACAGCCAGGGTGATGGTTGCAGCAAAGTTGAGCGGCTCTGAATCACCAAGGAACTCGAGACTGCTTGGAAAAATTCATGTAATCACTAAAATTAGCAGCTTGTGGGCTTGGCCTGGAGAGCGCATTGCTCATCTGCCAAACAGCTGAGCACACTCACCCACGCCACAGGGCTGCACAGCCCAGCAGCCTCGGCTCCCCCCGGCCCCAGCTCCTTGCATTACCTCCAGCTCCTGCCTGAATTCACACCCCTGGGAGGGACAGGATGTCCCCAGGCCCCGCCGCTCCCCGCAGGGCAGAGCTAGGGACACCCCCCCGCCATTATTTTGCACTGCCGCAAGCCACCCACCACACTATGAGAAACCCCCATGGTGGCCCCCAGTGCTCACAGAGACCGCTGGCCTGGGGCATCAGGCCAAGCTCCAATCTGCTGAAGCGGAGGAGGAGGGCTGGGCTAGGGGCCGGGTGGGGGTCCCCTCAATGCTCCAGCATGGGGGAACACCTCTGGGCCTGAGCTGTGCTGCAGGACATGTAGGCTCGAGCCACCGCTGATGGGTGAAGGAAGGTGCATTAGTCCCTTGGGGATTGGGGACCCCAC